ACTCGTATTACCCTAAAAACTATCAGGTCTGTGCAGTGTCCTATGACATCTATGTACCAAGTGTCATTGAAATGTGATGATTAGTACTTGAGATATCAGTGGAAAAGCCGAAAATTGATTAATCATTATGCAAATTAGGTAATTAATATTGCACAGATTTTTACCCAAAACTAATCAAATCTGCGCATTAGTTTGGAGCATCTGTGTGCCAAGTTTCATCAAAATCCAATGAATGGTTCTTTAGATATCAGTGGAACAGTCATGAAACAGCCAAAAATCAGCTAATTATCATGCAAATTAGGTAATTAATATGCATGGATTTTTACCAAAACCTAATCAAATCTGCGCATTGGCCCAGAGCATCTATGCACCAAGTTTCATCAAAAACTGATGTATGGTTCTTGAGATATCAGTGGAACAGACGGACACACATACACACACACACACACACACACACATACACATATACAGACACACTAACTGCAAAGACTCCCTTTTTGTGCTTCGCACACGGGAGTCCAAAAAAAACTACAACCTTGACAAATCACAGTGTGGTTGCAATTTGCCCAGACAACACATCAACTGGACTCCTGGCGCAAGTTATCTGGTCGACAAATCAAAGTTTACAGTGTTTTGTAGCTGTGAAAGACTATTTGTATGTCTGAGACCAGGTGAAGAGTATAAGTTGAAATGTATTAAACCTAAAATAAAATTTTGTGGTGGAAGCGCCATGGTGTGGGGGTATTTTTCAGCTACCGGCTTAGGATCGCTAGTCTGTGTGCCGACGACCATGAATCGATGGAAATATTTGGATATCCTGCAAAACAAAATAATACCGTATAGAGAACCTCTGGGAGTTGATCGTCTTAGAGGTGCATTCCTGACCAGTCAAGGATTTATATGCGAGTATCATAGAAGCATGGGGACAGTTTCACGTTAAACACATCAGAATCTTGTCATAGGCCTGATAGTTTTCAAGAAGAAGTCAAATATAGAATGGTTGTTGGACAACAGACAATCCCCTTGTCATCTTCAATAACAGCGAATCTAAAAGTACCTGTGTTAGTGGCACCTCTATAGTGACCACTTTTAAGCAGTCCTAGGTGGCACCTCTATAGTGACCACTTTTAAGCAGTCCTAGGTGCCACCTCTATAGTGACCACTTTTAAGCAGTCCTAGGTGCCACCTCTATAGTGACCACTTTTAAGCAGTCCTTAGGCATAACATATTTATAAAGACATTATATGTGTGACCAAATATATAATGTGACCACCTTATAAGTCCCTACATATGTTTGACTCTGTACAGCAACGTATCTAAGAAAAATGTTAGCCAATTAATACCAAATATATACCGTATTAATCTCAAAGTCCCTTATTAAATATAGCATGAATTGTTAAAAAGGTTACCCAAAAATAGAGCACTAATATATACAAGCAAAATCAAATATTAGCCAGATTTGCAGGAAACACTGTATTTGTCACATTTATTATTTTATTCTTGTAATGAAAACAACATATGTTCACTACAATTATCTAATTGACAAATCTTTGTAAGTATATACATCTCATCATCAACAGTATAAATGACTTTATTCTGTCCACTTATTTCTACATCTAACAAATGTTTTATTTCAGCCAAATCTTTTAAATTGCAATTGTTAATCAAAATTTAACTTTACATTTCATAGTAATAAATAAGATTCCCAATCTGTAGATGATTAGAAATATTTTGTTTGAGTTATTGTAGCCAGAATCAAAAGTTGTCAACAACAATGCCAACAACAAGGACAGACTATTTCTCCTCATATACCTTGTTACAGACAAGGTAATCAGCAGCCCATTGTTATTAAAAACAAAACAAAAATTCATTTTATCTTGGAATGCATCATATCTAATGGTAATAATAAATATGAATCCAATACGTACCTTGTACTTCTAGTTTTTTTGTATGAGAGATATGTTGGGTTCCATTACTAACATCACATGTATATGTGGCTTCATCTAGGTATTCATTTAAATGATCAAATATAAGAGTCTGATTATTATGTTCAATATCAGGATAAGTTTCTGCTGGATCTATGAGTTTCCATGGATATGGAACATTATCTTTATACCATCTAATTGACGTGAAACCAGCAGCACAGCAATGCAATCGTTTTACCTGTGTTGCTGTTCCAAACTCCAGGGTAGCCATATCAGGATTTGTAAAAGATAAAACACCATCTGAAATAGAATTTGAACTATAAAAAAAACAAGAACTAATATTTTGATGATTAATTTCACACAAGGCAATTAAAGTGGCAACAGCTGTGATTTTTGTTTGTATAAAATCAAATAAAATACGGAAATATATTGTTTTTGACTAAATTGCATGGGCAACATGATCCTACACAAAGCTAATGTCACATGAAAAGCTCAGGTCGTTACCATTTAGTTAAAAATCTGCCACGTGAAGGCAATTATAGAATTGTAAGGGCAAAAAGTTTATTTTCAATTTTAGCTTTTATTACTAATTTATTTATTACTGATTTTTTCTTTCATCTATGCTTGGTTATCAACTCCAGTCAAATATGACAATATAGAATCATGATCCATGTAACTAAACAGTTTTCATGTTTTTATATTTCCGGTAGCCAAATATCTCACAACAGTACATCTCAGCATGTGAAGCTCTTCAGTCACTTCAAGGTTGATAAATATTGACACAAAGAGGATATAACCCAAGTATTTGTTGAAGAGTATAGCAAACTACTAAAAATACAAGACTAGTTAATTTTTAATCAAAACGAAATACAGTTATTACCTGTGGATATGGTTTAGAGTTTAAGTGAGTCAATACGTAACTATGTTCAAATTTTATGTAAACAATGTATGATACACAAGTTGCATACCTCAGACAACTAATAAATATCGGCACCCCTGAACACAAAATCAAAACTGTTCACACACAAAGTGGTATGATCGCTTAAAACGCTGTAATATGCCCTTCCCAAAAAAATGTTGGAAACCTTCCACAAAATCCGCAACAGCAAGAAATATCGTTCAAAGTTGCTTATTATATATTCAAAAATTATTTGAGGTATATACTAAGACATTCAGTTTAATACTTGTAACTTGTCTAAATTTTGGTCGATTCTTAAAAATCTTACACAGCTGCAAAGGTCAAAATGTTCTGGACGCATCTCCTTTTTTTTTTTAAATTGTCCGGATCTGTTTTACGAAAAAATACGCAATTTCCGAAGAAGTGCGACGTGTGCAGAATATTGGATGTCAATACAACTAAGCAATGCACACATAGCACTCATCAAACATGAGGTGGCGCAAAGAACTGTACCACTTAAAAAAATTTGAACTTAAAAAACAAAATGCAAGTTGAAAAACGTTAATTTCAATGACGGTCAACTGCTAGTCATTACCATGTAGGTATCAGAATTGACACACTGTCAAATCGCTACGAATATGCAGACGTACCAGTCAATGGTATGTATATAGAGAAATATAATTTATACCTTTTCCATTGATGGCATACTTTTCACAAAAGTTTACACAATCCACCAGGGGAATCACTGCAATGCATAAGACTGTTGTTGAATATATGAGATTCATGACACCACACTGTGAAGAAATCATTCCGAAAATTTAATAGTCATAGATATGGACAACATACACAGAGTATCATAACCATCTTATGGGAAAATCCATATAATTATATCGTCTTAATTTTATTAAATTAACCTCAACAAGAAGCTGTGTATTTGTAGACACTTTGAAACAACAAACACAGTAATTATATATCTTTGACCTATTGATTTTCAGGCCAACATTTTATTTTCTGATCAAGACAATGGTTTTGATATGATGAAAGCAGTTATTTAGCTTTTACAGGTGGTTAAAAGGCCTTGTATGTATATTAGTCAGTACCTGAAGTTGGCATCAGAATTTATTGACACCAGGTACAATTGGCAACATATTGGCATCAAGAAGCATTGTATTCAAAATATACCAAAACTAACCAATTTCAACAATTTTTGCACATTGATTGGCAAACAGGAATTAATCACATTCTTCAATATTGCCAAAAAATAAAACATTTGTCACTGTGAAATACTTTATTTTCGCTTAGAATTAATTTTCGCTATTTTTGCTGAAGGAATGATTCAGTGAAAATAAAATACAGCGAATATACCTTTTTTTTCTATATTTTACATTCATTCAGTGAAAATAAATTTCACACAAAACACCAAAAAAGTCTTTTCAGTGAAAATTAATTCCAGGTAAAATAAAGTATCTGTAAAATCTGTATTAGAAACCGCGGCTTCTATTAAAATGGTACAATGCAACGGGAATGCGGCTTCTATTAGAGCATCTACACATATGAGAAATGGTGATTTTTTGGTTCTCAATTGTTCAAAAAGAATGGGTGCGACTTCTATTAGGGATGCGGCTTCTAATACAGATTTTACGGTATTTTACAGTCCCAGAGCATTCATGCATAGCATCAGATTCCTTTTGGGGGTTGTCGTGTTTGTTGCTTCATTTCTCCACAGAATCAGAGACGCCAAAAAGCTACATTACTAAGATGTATTTCTATGGGTTCTGCATATGCTGCTGTGGAACGGAGAAAACAGCTGAAGTCAAGGAAACAGCACAAACTCAACTTTGAAGTAATCCTGAGCAACCAAATTTTTATATGTTGAACATATAATGTTAATCTTGTTACACTGTTAAGGAGAGTCTCAACAATTATCCCAAAGTAATGTTTTCTCAAAGTTTTAAGCCTTTATTTTCACCATAATGTTAAAGTCCATAAAGTCCGCCCCTGAGAATACCATATTGGGGAGGGGGGGGGGGGAAGGGTAACCTTTTCATTCAACGTAATTGCAATATTTTTTTGTTCGTACAACGTAAATAGAAAAAATAAATTCCGTAATTCTGTAATCACAGGCTAGACGTACAACGTAATCAATCAAATATTTTTTCCGTACACTGTAAAAATGTGTCATTTTTCTCGATACGTACAAGAATTTACATCCACATAAAAAAATCGTAAAAATAATCCAGGGAAATGACATTTTAGAAACTGTAAAACGACTAGATGACAAAATTCACTACAAAATTGAATGTCAAGACGTAAAAGGCCCTCTAACCGAATGAAGAGCATTACGAGGGTAATATGCGCATGCGTCTCTACACACGGCGCAGTAATGGCGGAGAATTTGAGACGGAGAGCTCTTCGGACCATTCAATGTTCCATTTTTTAACACTGTAAACTGTAAAAACGTCTTTTCTTTCCTTGTAAATTGTAAAAAACCCTTTTTATTTCCCGTAAAACCGTACCAGCTACCCCCTTGCCTCCCCTCCATATTCTAAAATGCACGTACATACAACCTTTCATTCACCATAGTTAGACACATATACATAAAAAACCAATAAATATATGACCAGTGGGAATGGTCAGAAAATAAAAACAAGATACCAGGTGACCTCAGTATGACGACTGTAGTAGTTTGATTTATTACATAAAAAAAAAACCTTTAATCATGAGTAAAATATTACAAATAAAAACATTTTGCCTACAAAAATTACACAAATAAATAAATATCAAAAACTTCACACCCTGGTAGGGAGAACCCTATCTCCCCCACTTGGTGGCACCGCTGAATTGCAGTGCTCCCTCTTGCAGTTTTTTTCTAGAAAAAACCCTGGATCAATATTGTCAGCGAAAAATTATAATGTATACATACAAGCATAAATAAAATAACCCCTCCCCTTAGAAGTACATGATCAACCCTAAAACATACAACTAAAATTTACACATCAATACTAACTTAAATATACATTAAGAAGAACAATAATACTTTCAGGCCAATAATAATAACAGAAAACATGACGGAAGATTTTTGAGGTGATGTTTCTAGTAAATAACCTCAGCATCAAGAAGTTACATGTATCTATATTTTCATGCACTCACCATGATATGTACTAGCCAGTCACTAGTGGCACTCAGAATTCTCTAGACAGAAAATGCTTAACACTATAACCCAACCGTTCATCACAGGAATTATATGTCCCCTTCTCTTAATCATTGGCTCCTAAGACAACTTGATGTTTAGCTAGCTGCAGTTAAAACATTGATGCCCAAGTGGTACACGACCTACAATGTTGACATACACAAAACAAAAATGGACGACCCAGATCTCATGAGACTTTGTGAGATTTTACGTGCTAAATGACAAGAATTTACATGTTGGCCATCATAGAGGTTGTACAGGTAAGAATAATAAATATATAATTTATAATAGAATAATTATAAATGAGAATAATTGCAAAATTAAAAATGTGACAAGATGTCTGAACAGCGCCCTCACAAATACATATGTAAAAGTCAGGCATTGGATTGAAGCTGGGACTTGCATGAAGCAATGACAGAACAAAATTAAAATGGCCACCATATGGCATCTCGATTATGACGGTCAAACATATATACGTACGACAAGATGTAAAATGTAAATTAAAGTTTGAATGGGATTGGTCAAGGCAAGTCAGGGGTACATCTCCAGAACCACATTTATTGAAACAAAATGGCCACCAGTCAGCCATTTTGAATCAGATCTGAAAAACAAAATTATGTGCATCAAGGTCCCATGATGCAAATGTAACATACATGATTGCCAACAGAAGAGACTTACCAAATGATCGATCTAGGTTTTGTACAGACCAAGGGTTCAGAGGTAAACACTGAATTGCATTCTGTAACGAGAAATGGATCTCAACCGACTGTGCAACAAAATGTAATTTCTGGGGCTACCTGAAGAGGAGCTTCGTAAATAATAATTGTGACGCAGAAGTGATGATTCAATATCTAATATATTTATAACTGATAGAACAACATTGGATTACGGTAATGTTTTCAATTATCTGACGTTTTTGCACATTGCACTTGTTGATTAGCTGGTTGGATTCAACTGCCATTGAAATTTACAAATGATTATAAAGATGTAGGAAACGGGCTTGTTGTGCTGGCAGTATGTGTGACAATGAAGCTCAGACAAAATTGGCAAAGTTTAATAAATGTTTTTGTCTATTTTATGTGCCTTAATATATACATGATTGGCATATATGGTTTTACATGCTGATTTTACATGTATCATCGAGTTCAGGACTGGCTATAGTGCCTACACAAATACCTAAATGGTACATATAATCTTTCACTGTAATGTAGGCGTACTGTTAGCCTAACAGTGTTAGGTAAGCGTTTCAAATCTCATCCAGTTAGGTCAAATCTGTTGTATGGATCCTGCACAATTCTAATGTTGCATCACTAGACTTTATTATCCACAAACATATGTATGCTGACGCTATCTGGTGCACAACATTTCGTCGGAAGTCCGTTTTGTTGAATGACCATTTTGTCGAAAGTTGAATATATCAATCATTATTCGGCATGAATTGAAAGAAATATTGCGTGTCATTGCCAGTTTTGTGAAAGAAATGCATCCTGAGTGCCATTCATTTAAAGGGCGGCAGTCGTAGCACAGAGCGTGTTCGAATTTTATGTAAATAAACAATGTATTTTCCACATGTTGTATACGTCGCTATGAGTCCCATATCGAACAGGACGTGGTGCAATGACCATTGCCCTTTAACAAAGATACGATATTTGAACAACACAACACTTTCTTCGACACTTTCTGTCTGAGTAAGTATGGACTCTATTGCTTTTAATTTTAGCCAACATTTGTGGTTTCCTAATTTTAACAAATAGAATTAATACATACAGTGAAAGGCACAAAGCAAGGGCTTTGCTTATAAATGTATTTATTATATAATTGTAAAACGCTGATCATCAGCATTCATTCAAATTCAAATATTCAATTGTGATTGGCTAAACATTGTCTATGCCCATAATAAGTAGGCATGCATTCACTTGACCACAGTCCCTCTATAGTCCATAGAGGAACTGTGACTTGACATAGCAACTGTAAACACCCACATATTCAAAACAAGGCGATTGCTGATTGGAGAACTAACTTTGAAGTCACAATACCATTGGTCAATTTGAATTCTAACAACTATTTTGATTTATAAAAATGTATACATGTATTTATAAAACGTTTATAATGATCACAACTTTATGCCCTTCACTGTATACAATGTAGTACTGTATGAGTTCATGGAGGTATAAACAGATGTATACCTCCATGATGAGTTTAAGCAAAGACAATAGAAATGTCTAATGTCTTTGGTTTAAGAGCACACGTTTTCACAATTACAATGAATCAGATGTGGTAAACGTGATTTTCTGACTTTAGATCTCCCAAAATCAAAGGCAATTGTGAGCAATGATTTACATTCGGTGATAGTTGGACACTTTCATGACGATAATTTTGACTTTCGATGAAATGGACATTCGACGTGATGTACTTTCAACCGAATGTCGTAGATCCGACGCTGTCTTACCTTCCAAGAAATCTATTTATAGCACTGCATGCCTACACAGGATAAATGAACTGTGGCCGTGGTTAAAAGTTGCAACTCTCAAACAATTTCCGGCCAGAGAATGAAAATCTTATATATATCTAACGACGCTGGGCATTTGGGCCGAGGACGATAACATATAAGCTACATAAAACAACAGTGTTGTAGTCACTCCATATCGTAGAATAGACCGGAACAATATACAGGAACGCAAAGGTGACACAATATGCCGTTGGTGGCGTGCTCTGGAAACCGTTGGGGCGCCGAGAACAATCAGTATTTATAGTACAGTGGCCCAAATATCCAACTGTGGGCTAAAATACTATCTCTGCGATAGTAAAGTAACTTCGAATTTATCATACATAAAAACCTGTACGGTATTATCCGAAAGATGTTATATCTTATTACCTTTACATGTGTAGAAACCAAAAAAGAATTGTCAAATTTTCTCTAAACGTTGTAATAAAAAAAAAGCAATATTTATTCTATCTGCCGCTTAGGATTAGTTACTTGAGATCTGAACATACAGATCAGTAACCTCAACTCCAAATAGCGTTGCACAATTTGCTCGTCAATTAGTTGGTTGAGTTCAACTGCCATTGAAATTTATAAATACTTACGAAGGGTTTGTTGTTAACGAGATTACTTTTATTATTATTATTTTCCCGAATTGTTTATTTTATTGGAGTATCATAACTAGAAACAAAAGTAACCATCATGCATTCCATGACGTCACGTTGAAAATGTATCCGGCTTCATACTTTTTGATCGGAAAGCGCAAAGTTGCGAATGTCCGACTCGTACGATGGATGAAGTCTCGATGTGACAAGATTGATGAAAACATGGTGCTACCATGGGTAAACTGGTCCAACTTGAACAAACAATCAAAATGAAAACATCAAACAAATAAGTTAGCTAGTATTCAACGGCCGAATTAGATATAATATAGTTTAACCAATCTTTTCTAGTGTTTTTTATTTATCGTGAACTAAATACAGTGCGCAACAGTAGCTTGTACTTTAGTTTATACGGTGAATTTCGTGAAGGCATTACAATTTGTTTTATGAAAAAAATATTTATACATGTCAATGGCAGTTGAGCCAACCAGCCAATCGATGGGAGCAGTGTGCAATAACGTTATTTGAAAACGTTCAATTGTTATTTCACGGGCTAATATTTCGTTTCAGTTTAAATTGTGAAATTTATATGAGTATGGAATGAATCCCCAATTTTTTTTGGAGGGGGGTCTTATTGTGTTAATTATTGATTTAAAAAATTCTTTTCGAATACTATTTTCTCATTCAATTTCACAGTAATATTTTCACTGTCATTATTATTTTGACTTTATTTATCAGTTTTCAATATTCAAAATGACATGGGCTGCTACATCATTTTTGTATCTAGATTGTCAGTAAGTCTGTCTTTTTTTAGTTGTTCCTCTCTTTTTTTTTAACTAGCCCTCTATTCTGAGCTCTTTAATTATTGTTTATGGATTACGAGATCGTTTGATATACATATTTTGGGCGACTTTTTAAAAATTCGTATTTTGACTATTTTGGGGACAACTGTGCATTTTCTTAGATTTTAGTTCTTCAATGTGTTTATATGAAGGCGATCTGATAGAAAAGATTTGTAAAGAAATGTTTTTAAAATAAATTGCTGCTGATTATTGTATAATCTACAATACCGTTATGCGTCTTCCATTCGGAACAACCGTGTCAGTGGTAATACAACGATTGGCATTGGATTAGCAATTGGTTATTACCATATACTGATTGTTATTACTGCAAAACGTTTTTATTTGAATGGATTATATACTAGTAGTTGAATTAACTTTTAATAAAGTTGCGTTATGTTTGGATAAATCGCGATTCTATATAGGTTTGCAATTTAATTGGAGTTTAATTAAACACAATTACAATTCAATTCAACATAAAATTGCGGTTATTTATTTGAATATATTAATTAGCCATTTTAAAGCATTTCCACTTGTTTCTCATTCAACAGAATTTACTGAAACATGGTACATTACATTAATATGGTCAAAATAAGACATTTCAATGATTTTGCATGCAGTAAACACAATTTTTGCTTTATGTGTAACAGTGAAAGCCGGGTTTACCGCGAAACAAACACGCCTAATTATTGCTTGTTTCGCGGTTTTATATAATCTGTAAAACATGTACAAGTATAAAAAAAAATTGTTGCTTTGACGACGATTCACGGACCACCGACTTCGAAATGTTCCATCCAGGTCAGACATCGCCCTCTAGCACCAATCTCCCCATTTCCCAGTTCTATTTAGGGGTTGACCATTAGAAACTCTGTCGGTGATGGCAGAATGAACAAGAAAAAATAAAATCAATAAAAAAATCTGCACGCCTATTACTCTGGAAATATTATACACAGTGGAAACAAAAAAAGGTAGAGCGAATTCATCATAGAAAAATGTAGCACGAAACTAAGCGAAGAAAAAACATTTTGCATAGTGTTTCTTCCATCACCCATGCAGAGTTTCTAATGGTCCGTCCTAGTCCCTTACTCGGAAAAATCGTGATACCGGAAATACAACAGAAATGAAAGCAGCCTGATCTATTTTACCATAGGGGGTTCCATTCTAATGATGCTAAAGCCTCGAGAGAATACGTCAACATAAAATATTTAAAAATACCAAAGATTTATAAAATAAAACATTTAGCCACCATATATTTATTTATCATTATAAATGATAAATCAATGAAAGGGATTGTCACTTATATACGAGTCTTCTCATTCCAATTTGAATCTAATACAATTACAAAATCTTGGTTGGTATCGCCCATACTATCAATAACTGCGCAGTCTCAGTCCACGTAATTTTGTGGGTACGTCTCTGTGAACGTGTTTTCTGCGTAGAAGTTTTTTTCTATTCAGTCTGTACCCGTCTTTTTATGTAGAATTTAGCAGTGCAGCAACTGCTCTATATCACAGGTCAGTATTTCCAATCACTTAAGTACCACTTATTGAAAGAAAATTCGAATTGTCTACCTGATAACGTGATCAGACTACCGTGTGACACGATGATGGCGGCGGTGAGTAACATAACAACACAACTCAACTTGGTGGTCGAAATATAAACACAGGTCACAAGGTCGGAGGTTTTTGGTTTTAAGGTATCGACACTGTCTTGATATTAAAGGAGCCAGTGTCACTCACCCAGATGCATGATGACCTTCATCTGTTATACCTGGTGATTTATTCTCCGGGTGATTGACGAGGATTTATCCAGTGCCGGGTGACCAATTAACAAGGGATCACAACGATGTATGTCAGTGCTGTCACGTTTAACCGTGGTGCTGTGCATGTGGATACCGTCATCTCGGCGGTGAGGTCTATGTCATTGTCAATCGTTGTACTGTGCGAAAGATCGTGGACGGTGATTGTAGCCGAGTATACATTGCAAAATATGGGCGATTCATAGAAACAAGGATCTATAAGATAAGGATATACAACTGACTTGTACGGCCGTCAGTGATATGCGATAAATATCCTATGCATGCAAGTTCCCTATGCGCTTTTGCATCACAGAAATATAAAGTGTAAATTTTGGAAAGGGTAGATTATCAATCTATTAAAAACAAAAATTAACAAACGTAATGCATTCATTACGAATATGCTTTTTTGTGATGATCTTGTAATTTGTGCGACTATTAGGATGTTCATTGCTAATCACACCAATTGCATACGCTTATCTTACAAATCCTTCATAGCAATGAATAATTATATTAAATTTTGTTTACATCAGGGGCTCACTAATAAGTAATTAGGAGCTGCAATAAAATTACTGAAAAAAAGCACATACTATATAAATGGAAAAAGGAACAGACCATTTAAAACTTAAAGGAAGTACAAAAAATGAAACTTTAAAACTAAAGAAAATACAAAAAATGGATCTTTTAAACTTAAAGTAAATACAGGAAATAAATCTAATCTACATAATCTTTTCTATAATCCATGGCTTCAATAAGAAATCTTTTCACAGCTTCTTCTTCATCAATTTCTTCACATATCTCATGATTGTAATGCTGGGTGCTATCACCTAAAAAAAGACATACTGTGGAATACTTTATTTTCGCTGGAATTAATTTTCGCTGAAAAGGCTTTTTGGGCGTTTTGTATGGAATTTATTTTCACTGATTTTTGATGAGTTAATGTGAAATATAGGAAAAAAACTATATTCGCTGGATTTTATTTTCACAGAATCTTCCCTTCAGCGAAAATAGCGAAAATAAATTCCAAGTGAAAATAAAGTATTCTACAGTAATAATGCTTTACCCTTTGTAATATCTTCATAAAGATTTTTATATAGGAAATCATGACTAATATTTTTCATCATAATATCCCTATGTTCTTTGTAGCTTTCACACTCTAGAACAAAGTGTTCTAGAGTTTCATCACCTTTCTTGCAGCATGGACATGTACAATCACTATTGACATTTGCCCACTTTCTTTTCTCATACGCTAGACCTAGAATGTGTGGCCTTGCTTTGAATTTAAGCTGGACACCTTTATAATTTTCAACTGATTTTAAATATTTTTCACAATGCTTGATCCCGGTTTTAAATTTCATGTAGTGGATCAGACCAAAGACATTCTATTGTCTTTGATCAGACTTGATTTGTTTGCATGTTTTTTCACCACTTATCTTCATCGAATCAAATATTTCCAGAGCTTTTTTAATTTTTTGCGGACTAAAGATCTACACTTTTTATGATATCATGAATACATTTTGGCCAGTTCCAGGACATTCTGAAAGTTGTGTTGTTTTTTGTTATTTTCATCTTTTTGATCATTCAAAACATTAAAAATAACTTTCAGCCATCTGGAATCTGACATATCACACAGTCTTTGGTAATATTTTAGTTTCATGATATCTAGTCTACATCTCATTGTGAACAACCCCAAATCAACAAGGACAGCTTCATTTGCAGTATTTCAGCATGCACCTAGAGTAAATTTTCCTTTCTAAACTCTCCATATTTGTCCCACTAAGTATCAGGATTTCCCTAGCATACTCCATGGAGGTAAAACGAGAAGGAGTCACAGCCAAGCTTAGATCAAAGGTACCAGGATGGTCCCCGCTGTTTGTACATAGATCAGGTAGTTTATTTGCCGAACGGACCAAGGAGGACAGTTTCCGCTTAGCGCAGTGAGGATTACGATGCATTAGCATACTACGGACGCCTTCGACAGCATTCTGTGATTTTCGTGACAATTCTAGTCAAATTCTTATAAACAAGTATGGCGACAATCGATAACGCGCACGAGTTTGACTACGATGCTGAAACTGCTATATGCTTCAATTCAGAAGACGTAAACGAAGTCGGAGAGCATATTACAGACAAAGAATTGTTTTGCATATGCTGTAAACAAAAAGATTGCCCGAAAACAAAAAATGCAGCTAATTTTTACCTCCATGCACTGCCATAGGAAGTAGGACATACACGGGATATAAACTTCAAAAAGTGTCATTTCGAACCTCAAAATTCAGTCTCTGGTACAACGCGGTGCACCATTGCAAAGATCATTAAACAAGCTTTATTTTGGACTAAAAAACAGTACTAGCAAGGTTTCGAAACATTACCATATTGCCGATTCAATAATACAACGGAAAATTTTCTGAAAAACGACAAATTACAGAAAAAACTTAACAAGAAATTCTCTAATTTTCAAAATTCCAACGTTCCCGTTCTCACAAACACAATTCCTCTACGTATAAAATATCTGCGCATGCTTTATGTCCTTTAAGATTCACTGTGACACCGTAAAACAAGACCTTGGAGTGTGTACTGTACGTAGCAACGCTTGAGGGTAAATGGCGCGTCGGCGACGATCCTGGGGTGAAAGGACGATAAGACAAAGGGAATTATAGGATTAAACTTGGCTAAAACAAAAGATGTTTAGAAGGATTATTTTGGCTGTGACTCCTTCTCTTTTTACCTCCATGCATACTCTAAAGTTGGCCTTAATACCTCGTTCCATAATGACAAACAATATTCTACTCTATTATATCATATGTTTCCTAAATTTAACTGCAATATCTCAGGCACTGTTGGGATATGCATGATATTGTAGTCATTGGATGAGAACTATAACTAACTGTAACAAGCCGGTAGGCTGGAAATAAAATAAATAAATCATACGTGAAAACACTGAAAATTTACACACACAGACACACACACACAAAACGACAAAAGTGATTATAAGGGCAATCCTAGCGGAGCGGATCGCCAATAACTTGCACAGTTGCAGATACAAACATACAACTTGTACATGTACTATATTTGCATTGTCAGACAAGGTATCATTATGACTGTAATATCAAGTTATCATATATAGTCCTGATTTCATTCAATATTTATAATTGTTTATATGATTTTTCATGTAATAAATGCAATTTTTAGTCCCCGTTCAGACGCAGTCCGAAAACGGGGACTTATGTTTTGACCTCCGTGTGTCCGTGCGTGCGTGCGGACCTATATCTTAGAAATGCCTGGACCAATCACAATCAAACTTCGCACATACATCATACATGATATTATACATATGCACATCAATTTGTTTCACGATCTGATTCAAGATAGCCGAATGACGGCCATTGTTGTGCTAAAAAATCCTAAAAATCAAGCATTTCTCGGCTGTTTACAGATGGACTTTGCTCAAACTTGGTATATACATTAGACGTTATGGGACCTTGATGCAAATAATTTTGTTTTTCAGATAAGATTCAAAATGGCCGACTGGCAGTCATTTTGTTTTAATGAATGTGGCTCTCATGCCATATCTCTGACTTGCTTTCACTGATTATATTCAAATTTTAAATATTCATTATACATGATGTCATAGATAGACAGATATATTGTTTCGACGATCCTATTCAAAATGGCCAAATGGTGGCCATTTTTGTGCTAAAAAATCATCAAATATCAAGCATTTATGGATGGATTTCGTTCAAACTTGGTACATATATTAGACATTCCAGGTTCCTGATGCACATTTATTTTTCAGATCGGATTCAAAATGGCTGTCTGGTGGCCATTTTGTTTTAATGAATGGGCTTCTAGACCCATATCTCCAACTTGTTTTGCCTGATTATATTCAAATTTTAAATATTCATTATACATCATGTCATAGATAAACAGATATATTGGTTTGACGATCCTATTCAAAATGCCTGAATGGTGGTCATTTTTGTGCTAAAAAATCATCATATATCAAGCATTTCTGGCATTTATGGATGGATTTTGTTCAAACTTGGTACATACATTCGACGGGTTCCTGATGCACGTCATTTTATTTTTCAGATTGGATTCAAAATGGCTGACTGATGGCCATTTTGCTTTAATGATTGGGGTTCTAGAGCCATATCTCTTAAATGCTTTGACTGATTATATTCAAATTTTATATATTCGTTATACATCATGTCATATATATACATGTATTCAAAATGGCTGATTTTGAATGCTGTTCCAGAGCAATATCTCTCAATATGGACAAGTACTTGTTTGATGATCAGATACAAATGTCAATCATTTTAATGTCAAAAAATCATATTCCTGACATGGTTAATATTCCAGCTATATTACTACATGTATAAACAAAACTATATATCTTAAATTTGATAACTAATGGGGACTGTGCCATGCATGGCTTGTTGCTTTGTGTATTGGAGATGTGCTTCTAATATAGTAAATACAATATTAATTATTAGTGCCACATGCCTCCAATACACACAAAACTTCTTTATAAGCTGCTTTCTCTGATTCAAATTTAGTACAAAGACAAAACATAATAGGTTGTATGTTCACCATTACTTTTGAATTTTGATGAACTTTATAACTGACTTTTTGTAAAAAAAGGAAACTAAACACAACATTTGGAAGTCAGTTTTTAAAAAATGATTTATTTTCCATGTTTCCCCAAACATTTCTCAAACATATCTTGAATGATTTTGTTCAAAGTAGACAAGGCAAGACCTAATGGTATGTATTTTGTTTTGATGACCTGTTACCGACTGGTGGCCATTTTTGTTTCAAAAACATGTCAGAAAGTCATCAGTGGTGTGAGCAGCTGTCTGTTGCCTGTCAACCTTTTTGACAGGAAACATTTTATTAATTTATTGTTTTAGTTCTTTGTCAAATATTATACCAAAAAGCACCCGAGAATATTTTCTGCAGGCACTTTCAAATTCCCGCAGGATTTCTCTGCATGTCATCAACTATTTCTCATGTTTGCCGGATCTGGTTTAATTCAAACTAGGTTTGTTTCTTATTTGACACATTTGATACAATACATATGTGTTAAAATATGACAATCTAGCTATTTATGATATCCAAAGTCATATATTTCTTGCTTAAAGATTGAGGACTGTATCATTTATGCAGTGTACCAAAATAGCATTTAAAACTCGGTGAAAAAACAGTGCAACTAGTATGTAATATTGTATGGCATCAATTGTTTTATTTAAAGAATATATTATTGACTATCAATCATGCAAGAACAGTATCTGCCACTAAATATAAATACCCACTTCACTTTTATTAAATTTTTTCTGTAAATAGAGAGAAAATTGTTAAAGTAAATTTTGAGTCACCGGTGCTATAGGCAGTTTATTCTCCCTTAATTGCATGCAACCGCTTTGTCCCTGCTAGTGTTGTGTGTATAATCCGTTTATAATCCTTGCTGCATGTATATGATATACCAATACTAGTAGTTCAGATTTACCATTGTGTTACCATGGTGACTTGCAGCATGTGACATTTTGAGTGTGATTATTTATGTTTGTAACAGATTGTGGGTATATTATAAATTGTTCACTTTTATATTTGTAATGAAATCAGAATACTGAACCAACATAAGTATCGATAATTTGTTCAGACCTTTAATATTTTATTTTTAAACCTCATATTTTTCTTTTATTAAAAACTTATCAATACTGACTCTATGTTTATACTAAGACAATAAAATATTACTTAAAATAAATGTAATTATATTTGTGGATAACGATCTAATTTTTTTAAAACTAATAATAACATGATTTAAATAAATATGATTGGAGACATTTACAATTTGAAAATGAACATAAACATGGGTAATTTATTTTACTTTACATATACTGGTAAACAGTATTATATTTTTTTGAAATAGGCATCACAAGTAACAGACAGATAAGTGCGATTCCTACTAAAAATTAACACCTTTTCTGTTCATCGTACATGTGGGAGAACCAGACTAGTGTACATCTGTTTCAATAAATCTGCCTATCAGAAATCTATCAGGCATAGATTTTGATTTTTGTGAACAATTTTTAAAATAAGATTTTTAGGAGAAAAGAATATTAAAATTTTTTTAGCATGGTTGCAGACACAACTATACCAGCACTAATATAATGTTGGTGTTTACAGACTGAGAATGAAGACTGGGGAGAATGGAATGAAGCATCTCTAGGAAAACGTACAACCACAAAAACAATGAGTGAACACGATAAAGATGCTCCACCAGCTGGAGAGGGGGCTACAAAAAACACCCCACAAAAAGGCAAGGTAGGATATCCCAGAGTAGGCTATCACTCTGTCTATGATCATTCACATTTACTGGAATTTCACAAAATGATATATAATTGCTGATCAGTTTATAGTAATCCGTACTTGTTATTGGTTTCAGTTGGAGTCACTTGCACGAGATGATCTTATCAAGTATGTTAAGAAACAAACCATGATTATGCAGAAAATGAAGGCCAAGTGTGATGGTAAGATGTTTTCCAATGTATATTAAAATACTTTATGATGTCACTTTTGTGATAAACTTTCTTCTGTATAGCAAAGTGCCTTATATATATATCTACTTTCTTCAAATAGATTTGACTAAGAAATGCCAGGGACTTGAAAAAGAGAAAACCAACCCTGCAGGAAGCCAAGATCAAGAAAAAATTAAGGTAAATATATTCCTGATAGTTTAATTAAATCTTCAGTTTATATTGTGAAGTTCATTTTCAACCTTTTTTGATGACTCTGAGGAGTCAATATAAGATAAAATACAAGTAATTTAAAAAAAATATAATTGGTATTAACAAAACACTGATTGAACAGCACGGTAGTTATAAATCCGAATGAAACATAGAAACGTAGGAGATAGAGACCTGACACCGTACCAACAAGAATCAGCTTCACAGTTACTAACCAATCTCATAGAATGACAATAATTTGAACCAGTTTTTGCTTTCTACTGGATACTAAGAGTTGAAGTGTTAATGGTGGAATTTGTTAGAATAATCACTGTTGTCTATCACTGTTTTACTATTACTATCGTATACATAAACATTATCATCTAGATGTTTCATCACACTGGTGATATGCATTTCATTCCATATCAGTACATGTGTGTGATATGGTACTGGACTACTTTTAGAATTTACCCAATCAGGTTTGTCGCTACTGTGAACAAGTTGGTAATGTTGTGAAATGTGGGGTTAACAAAAAATATATACATGATGTACTTGGGAAAACTATTGATATATTTACATTGTTGTATTGCTGCAAATTTTCACATCACCTTTCCAGCATGTGTCGCCAGTCCGCCTACGTCGGTTCCTTGGTGTGATTTGAACAATCGCTAATACAAATCTCATGGGATTTTGCCAACAGTATTAATAACAACTTTAAAACAAACATAACCAAAAGTGCATGATGGTGTGTTATTGAACCTTAGCTAAATTGTTCACATATGTAGCATTGCGTTTTTGGGAGAACACACATTTTATCCAAAGAAATATCTGCTGATAATCTCTTTGTCTAGGTCAATCTGCATTTCCTCAACCAGTGAGAATATGTTTACAAGAAAAAGTACATGCTATGATCTTTCTCATATTCTGTTTTTAGCTCCGCTGTCGACTTTTGTGATGATATCTTCAATTCTCTAATTTTGGTGAATATTTTTGTCATTTTTGGTAAAAAGTGATATTTTCGACTTCTTGTTAAAACCGCTAGTCCGATTGCTTTGATATCACATATATAGGTACTACATGTGGACCTCTTTCAGATTTGTTCATTTTGTGATGATATCTTCAATTCTCTAATTTTGGTGAATATTTTTGTAATTTTTGGTAAAAAGTGATATTTTCGACTTCTTGTTAAAAACCAATAGTTCAATTGCTTTAATATTACATATATAGATACTACATGTAGACATTTCTCAGATTTGTTCATTTTGTGATGATATCTTCAATTCTCTAATTTTGGTGAATATTTTTGTCATTTTTGGTAGAAAGTGATCTTTTCGACTTCTTGTTAAAAACTGTAAGTTCGATTGCTTTGATACTATACATATTGTTCATTTTCTAATGATGTCTTCAGTTCTTTAATTGAAATGTGCATTGCTAACAGCGGAGCTATCTCAGCCGATAGGCTGCTTGTTATTTAATTAATGGTACAATCCAAATTTCAAAAAATAATCATGGCACCTCAACTGGCAGAGGTTCTGTGTGAGAGAAAACAGTGACTTTCAAATGTAGTCTCTGAATTGTGTTTATCTTTATTATAGGTATGAGTTTCGTGAACAAAAAATATGTTTTATTTTTAAACCATTGAATTATAGTTTTCTTTTTTAGGATCACTAAGGTCTCTCAGATGTAGATAAAATTCAAATTAGTTTATTGAAAGTAAATGTTTACAACATCACACAATCACTTGCTGCATGAGTTGACTTGATACTATGTCCTTTGACCTGATATGTCAAGCTGCTTATGAACCAACCAGAATGCTAGTTTATGCCAGCTGAATATATTTGTGAATTTACGTTATATTGTCGATGGCTATGCAACATGGAAGCGATTTATCAACTTTGCAGTAACATTTTTGCATTATTTTGGTGGAAAAACAGCATGTTTTTTTTTACAAAATAAGAAATTGTTAATTTTTGGAAAGATAAATTTGAGATTTAATAAGTATTCCATCCTTTTCACGGTAATAACATCTCATTATGGAAACAGTTTACCCATTTAGACTTGAAGAAAAATGGAAGTGTTTCAAAAGCGAGGCATAAATTGGAATACTTAACAGTACTCAATGTTTTTAAAAATGCTAGGAATTGGAAGATGAGTTGTCTAACTTGAAATCAGAACATGAACAGCTGTTGACAGTCTACAATGGTGTACAACAACAACAAGAGAGTTCAATACATCTACACGAGGTTGGTTTTTACAGTTTTACTAATTCAATGTTACATGTCTATAAAAGGAAACAAAATAAACTATTTTTACCTGCATTTGTACATGTTTACATTTATTGTAGTAAAAAATAATTACCTGGTCATAGGCTCAGGGACCTCAACATGTAAAATAAAGGGTGGGTGTATTCCTAAAGACCACCTCAGAAAAGATCTTTCTTTTGCTCGTTTACATTGTAACCATATTTCGTTTACATTGTAACCATGTTATCAAACAATTATCGAAATTTAAATTTTTTTGAAAAATAAATAGAATAGAATAGAATAATGCTTTATTACATCCTTAATGAAATCTGACATTAAAGCTTTATTATTATTAAAGCTTTTTTAAAATAAACTACATGTACCATCATAATTTTCGGTGTGAATTATTAAGGTCTGTGGGAAAACAGTTGAAGATGAAATCTTCATCATTATTTTTGTAGTGGAATGTTTTTGATCATACAAAAACCGTAGATTTAAAATAGTTTCCACCATGATGGCCAGTTATTAATGCAATGTTAAAGTGAATTACAAGGATGTTGAAATACATTAGTACTAAGTTCATCAAAAAAATGGTGACATTAAAAAAAAAAACCTAATGATTCAGCAACATCTTTATTTTCTAGTCTAGTAAAAACACCTTTCATTGGCATATAACCTGGGATGTCCTTAACTTACCGTACTCGACCGCGTTAGCGCCCAGGGGCTTACTCATGCACTCCCCTCGAAAAAGAGAGCAAATAAATATTTTGATTCATCATGTGACAGATTGAGGGGGATATTACGTCTTTGAGGGAAAATAAAATAACGAAATTAGTTGCGTCGTCATTGACTTTTACAATGAAGAAACAGAAATGATCACAAAAAATATGAACATTTTATTGAGAAATTAAAAATTTTAGTCTGTTGGAAAACAGTCGAAGTCAAAATTCTCATCATCATCTCCACTGACGAATGTGTTGGATCGTACGCAAACTCTCAATGAATATCACTTTCCTCCATAATGCATGATTTGACCTGCATCAACGTCCTTTGACCTAATGGGTCAAGTCTGTTATTAACCAATCAGAATGCTGTGTTGTACTGATGCAATTCTTCAGAAATTCTCGAAGAATTATCGATATCGAAGTACGATTTGTTGGAATTGATTTCAGCGAATAAATTATATGGTTTTTCCGAAAAACTGGTAACTAGCAATTTTTGAGAGGTAAACTGAATATGATATGAAA